AGCCTTGGAAACCTATGGGGCAGTTTTACTCTGTCCTAAAGGGTCACTATGATTCAGGATCAACTTGATGGCAATTGGTTTGATATTTATCTATATGTTTACATGGCATAATGCTGTTAAGTAAAGGTGATTATAATGTCTCTTTCACTATTCTTGCCTAAGAGCTCATTTTTTTAGTTATAATAAAGTAATGTGATTTGCAGCATTCTTTCATTTGTCATAATCTGTCTGAACTTGGCCTGGTGCTGAAGGGGTAGGGAGGTGACATCATCTGACCTCCTCTGACTCCACAAGAGGAAGACAGAATTACCATCAGCAGTGAAAGGCCTATTCTTAGGAGGTCAGACATGCTGCCACCCTCCAACCCTCTTTAGTAAGTAACCTCATCACCAGCTGCAGCTGTTCCTCCCACGGCATCCACTGCCTCTCTGCTGCACTCAGTAATTCACTGCAGTGGCCACACAGAAGTCACAGATCATGGAGTTTGTTAGTGAAGCAACAGGCTACAATTCAAGGTCAGGAATGTGCTCAGTCTCTCTCAGCCACTGGCTGTGTCTTTCAGCAGTTGACCATCTCAGTCTCTTAGTAGCATATCTCTCACTCAGCAGTGTGTCTCTCTTGCATCTCTCTCTCAGAAGTGCATTTCTCTCTTGTCTCTCAGCATCACATCTCTTTCAACAGCGGGTCTCTCTCTGGAGACTCCTGCCCCTGGGAGGGCTTATTTTGATCCTGGCAGAGTGACAGAACTAACTAATCCCAACATCAGAATTCTACACACCTGAGAGAGATGGTGAACTTCCCTGAAGATTGCTGTGTGTTGCCCCAATAGAAATATACCACGTGGATAACTTTTGACAATCACCTACTCAATTGCTCACAGTTAAGTAGGAGTTACAAAGACTATGGCTAGAAAAGTCATAACATGTAGTTTACTACTCTGCACCTGGTTTGTTTTCTCCACAATGAAGGACATTCTAAAGGTGTGTGGAGAAGTGTGATGGGAGCTGGACTAGTAAGCATTCTTATCAGTATTTCTGAATTAATCACCCTGATTCCCTGCTGTTTGTGCCCCTAAAATCTTTTCTGAAGGAATGTAGGCTACGTTAGCCTGTTTCCTTTAGTTCCATCTTGGGCTTTGTAGTATCAGGAATAGCTGATCCAACAGCTATTTTGCCGTAGAGCATCCTGGGTGGCACAGGTGGTTTGATTAGCTGCTAAACTAAAGGTTGGCAGTTTAAACCTACCCAGTGGTGCTGTTGAAGAAAAGGCTATCTGCCTCTGTAAACATTATAGGCAAGAATACCCTATGGAACAATTCTGCTCTGTAACATGTGGTCACCATGAGTTGGGGGCCAACTGAACGGCAGGTAACAACAGTTTTGCCTTGGTTTCCAAGGGAATGTGTCCTGAATGAAGTAAAAGCTGAAATAAAAGTGTTCTCATCTTCTTTCTAAGCATATGTATGTTTACATGCCTCTTGTTAGGTGCTGTCAAATTGGTTCTGACAACAGAACAAAACACTGCCTGGTCTTGTGCCATCATTCCTGTGTTTGAGCCCAGTTTTTCAGCCACTTTGTCAGTCTGTCTCATTGAGAGCTGATTGGTTCTCTAGTGCTGCAATAACAGAAATACCACAACTGGATTACTTTAACAAAGAGATTTATTCTCCTACAGGTTGGGAGGCTAGAAGTCCAAGTTTAAAGTACCAGCTCTAGGGGCTGGGTGAAGGCCTGTCAACCTTGGGCTTCAGCTCTGCCTCTTGCTCCTAGCCCCCTGGAACTGGAGGCATCTCTTAACTCTAGCAGCTGCTGGCTGCTGAAGCTGACAGATCCAAGGTTGACAAGTAAAATGGCACAGTCCCAAGATTATCAAGCAATACAGCAGGCCACTAGTTAACATCCAGAAGTAGTCCCAATATCAAAAGAAAACATAGCAGGCTGCTGAATGAAGACTTGGCTAAATACAGGATCCAAGAGTGCCAAAAAGCTGGAGAGCTTCTTCAAAGCATCTTCTTATATACTGGGAGCACACCACATCCCTAAGGCAGCTACTCAGCTGCTCACAGAAGATTCCGCCATGGAGTTAATTACCAGTCTCTTCATGAGGAATAACTGCATCCAGCTGCCCAGCCACTCAAAACTAGGCCCTGCCAAGTTGACACACAACCTTAACCACCACAAGGTTCTGCCCCTTTTTCCACTGACCTCTGCTTTACCAAGCATGATGTCCATCTACAGGGACTGGTTCTTCCTGAAAACATGTACAAAGTACATGAGACGAAGTCTTGCCATCCTTGCTTCTAAGGAGCATTCTGACTACTTCTTCCAAGACAGATTTGTATGTTCTTCTGGCCATCCATGATATATTCGGTATATTTAGCATCATAATTCAAAGGCATCAGTTTTTCTTCATCTTCCTTACTCATTGTCCAGGTCTTGCATTCATATGAGGTGATTGAAAATACAGCCACACCTTAGTCCTTAAAGTGACATCTTTGCTTTTTAACACTTTAAAAAAGTGGTCTTTCACATGCCTCTACTACACATTTCTTTCATGGAGTTTTATACTCTTAAGGCTTAGGGTATACATTTATTAAATCTTCTGCCCTTGCCAACTCTGACACATCATACAGGATTCAGAATTGAATATGTCTGTCCTTTCTATACCTTAAAAATCTATTCAGTGTACTTTCTTTTTTGTCAAAAGATGTAGATAGGGAACTTACCTGTGCTCAGGTAGTCACCACTTACATTGTCCTAGGGTTTAAAGTGTTGAGTCAGCTCCCACTCATAGCGACCCTGTGTACAACAGAATGAAACACTGCCTGGTCCTGCGCCAGCCTCACAATCCTCACTATACTGCAGTCCATTGTGGCAGCCACTGTGTCAGTCCATCTCATTGAGTGCCTTCCCCTTTTTCGCTGACCCTCCATTTTACCAAGCATGATATCCTTCTCCAGGGAGTGGTCCCTTCTGATAACATGACCAAAGTAAATGAGTTGAAGTCTGGCCATTCTCACTTCTAAGGAGCATTCTGGCTGCACTTCTTCCAGGACAGATCTGTTAATTCATCTGGCAGTCCATGGTACTTTCAGTATTCTTTGCCAACACCACAACTCAAAAGCACCATCTCTTCTTCTTAAACCAATTAGTGATGGTTAAGTTATATCACAAGGAGCTCATTTGGCTGCTAATCAGCGAGTCAGTGGTTCAAATCCACCAGCTGCTCTATGGAAGGAAGATGGGGCAGTCTGCTTTCATAAAGATTTCCAGCCTTGGAAACCCAACAGGGGTCACTGTGAGTTGTAATTGACTCAGTAGCAGTGAGTTTTGGAGTGATGTTACATAACATGAGCACAGGTTATAACAATATACACAATTTTTGTTCTTTTGGATCTTATTCCTGGCATGGGTGCAAATGATAATGTATAGTAGATATTAGTAGATATTAGTAAGTCTGCTATTGAAGAAATTGAACAGTGTTTGCATTATTTTTCCCCAAACCTATGTAAATACATACTTTAAAAATATACTTTGGAGTATTTTGCTGTCTTGGATTCTATCCATCAGTGCTTCCTAATATTTTAACAACATGACATGCTTAGAAAATGATAAAAAGTTTACAGCAGACTGGAGTAAAGGAAAGAAGGTTGTGTTTTCCACTGCAGCTAACAGAGATGGTTGTTGTTGTTGTGGGCCGTCGAGTCAGACCTGACTCATAGCAACCCCTCCTTGGGTTTCCGAGGCAGTATCACTACGGAAGTAGATTGCCCCATATTCCTTCTGAGGAGTGACTGGTTGAACTGCCAGCCTTCTGGTTAGCAGTCATATGCCTTAGGCACTATGCTATCAGAGCTCCCAACACAGAGATAAGCAAGTTAAATACAGAAGAGATACATAGGGTGAGAGAATGGGCACTAGATAAGATAAAATAGAACTTTAGAGGCTTTAAAAATTACTATTTTTTATAATAATTGGTATTTTAGACACAAATAGGGCAGGCACTCTTATTGTATCTTGAGGACCTCTGTCAGAATGCTGTCAGCCACAAGTAATAGAAAAGCTCTATTCAATGGCTTTAATAAACTCTTAGGAGATTATCTCACATAACATGATGTTCATGAAGGGCAGGCTTCAAGTAGAGAGGATTAGTGCTTTTCTTCACTCTCCCTTACTTGGAGTGCGCTGGCTTAATCCTCAGTCTGGTAGTCTGAGTGATCTTTGGTTGGCACAAATGGTTTCTGCTACAATATTAACCTAAAGTTTGGTGATTTAACCCATCCAGCAGTGCTGTGGAGGAAAGACCTGGCAATCTAGTGCCATAAAGATTATAGCCAAGAAAACCACATAAGGCAGTTCACTCTAACATAAGGGATCACTATGAGTTGGAATTGACTTGATGGCAATAGGTTTGATTTTTCTTCTTCTTCTTCTTTTTTTTTTTTTGTGGTAGCCAGATGCCTGTAGCAGTTTCAGGTATTAGGTTTAATCATGACAACATGCAGCGGAAGACAGGGGCCATTTCTTCTTTGGTGTCTTTAAAGAGCTTTTTTCATAGCTATTTTAAAACATACATAAAAGTAAACAATGGTATAGTGAACCTCCGTTTATCACTCAGCTTCAACAATGATCAATTTAACATCATTTATAGTGATGTAGTTCTTTAAAAATGCAGTTTCACCCATTGGTGGTAAAGTTTAAGAAATGTATTCATGTTGACCAAATTGACAAGAAATGAAATTGCCCATTTGTTGATTTATAGTAAATAACTAACACATTTGGAAAAAGTAAGCTATAGTCTGCAAAGAAGGCTTAGTTGATACAGAGTTACAAGAAAGATGACTGTTGTTTCCATTGAGCATTGAAATACTGCTAATATTATTTCTGTTAATTTGTTTCCAAACTGTGGTCTTTAAAAGGACTCTTTTCTGTTGCTTTTAGTGGCATTTATTTTCAACTGGCTTGGATTTTGTTTATCCTTCTGTATAACCAATACCATAGCTGGAAGGTATGGTGCTATCTGTGGATTTGGTCTTTCATTGATCAAATGGATCCTTATTGTCAGGGTAAGTGAAACTATGGCCTATGTCACTTTTATTTCTGAAATGAAAATGTACAAGTTTTTCTGTGTGGTTTATAAGTGTTAATTTTATGCATATAAATTAAATTATTTCACGTCTTTTTCTTCTATGCTTAATTATCGTAGTGATCTTTGTGGTGTGAATGTTTTATAACTTTATTATATGAGAAGTTGTGTAGTAGAGTGGAAAGAGCTTTGCCATCAGAGAAACTTGATTTTGAATCTCATCTTTTTTGTATTTATTTTCTACCTTTAAGCTAATTGTTAAGAGCTTCAGTTTCTTTATAGGATAATAATATGCTTTCTGGATTTTTGTAACATATGGAAATAATATAATTAAAATACTTTGTCCACTTGTTGCACAAATATAGGTGCTCAGTTAATTGTGGCTAATATTATTGTGGTATAGTGCAGGCATGCCTAGCACCAGTTAAAAAAAACATTTCTGTTGTTTAGTAAAATTATCATGAACTTAAACTCTTCACTTTTTTTTTTTTTAAGTAAACATCAAGCACTGAAAAATAAAGTATAGGTAGATTCGAATATACACACATTTGACTCTGCCTTTTATTATACACTTCCAGGCAATAAATTCCTCTTGGAGGTTAGTGCTTAAGAGAAAGATTTTCTTGTAAAAGCCTGGTGTTTTCTTTCATTAGATAACAAGTAATTTATATATCATACTGCTGCTATTCTTTTCAGCGAAGGATTCTGAAATTACATCTAAGGCCTTTGATATTTTTATTGTTTTATTACATATATGTTTTATTAAAAACTAACAAATTCTTTTTGAAAGTAAACAAGATGTGAACAATTAAATAATTTATGTTCATTTAATTTTAGTGAAGCTATTTTCCATAGTTTAATTTCTGCAACCTATGATTGTTTTGATTGGTTTACTTATTAAAGAAAAAAATAAAAAAGGCAACAACTTGGCTTATTCATCTGATTTTTAATATTTTAAAATATTTTGATAACTCATTAATGAGTCTGAAAACTATTAGTTTATTGCTTTTACATATTCTCTGTGACTTCAAGGTTTGTTGTTTGTTGTTGTTTGCCGTTGAATCGGCCCGACTCATAGCGACCCCTCCTTGGGTTTCCGAGGCAGTATCACTACAAGTAGGATTGCCCAACCTTCCTTCCGAGGAGTGGCTGGTGGGTTTGAACCGCCAGCCTTCTGGTGAGCAGTCAAGTGCCTTAGGCATTATGCTACCAGAGCTCCTGACTTCAAGGTGAAGGTAATTAATATTTTTCCCTTGGGAGTAATTAAGAAATAGCTTTTATGGTAAATATTTTTGATGAAGAATGACTCTATTCTTGATCTTATGATTTCCTTCTACTGGCTAATAGACACAGAAACTTAAAAAATGTACTGCTCTGATGCTTTATTTCTTCTTGTTCTTATACCTTCTGAAACTTCTGTAGTGGTTTGACCTATATGAGAACTTTTTATTTCTAACTTTAAATTACTTGATTAAAAAGTAGTTTAGCCCTACTTTAAAAGCTATGGTGTTTGCAATTTTAACTTCTCCCTTCATCTTACCTATTTCAGAGGTGTAGGAGCATGTCATATTTGCATCTCTAGTAGTACTTTGAAATTTTAAAACTTTTTAATTTCTAAAACTCTAAGCTTGAGGATTTTAAATCACGGTTCATTTATTAATTGAAAATACTTCCTGGGAAAATACTTAAGAGGCTTAAAAAAAGTGTTTTAGATAATCTTTAGTGGGTATGCTTCCAAAATGGTGATGTTTCTTACAATTTGTAAGCATTTTTATCATTTCCAGTGCTATAGGATTTTTAAGCCCTTATGGAAATTAACAATGAATAATTGAAATAATTATTGGAATAAAGTTGTAGGTAGATACTTTACTATCAAATTTGAGGGCAAAGCTTAATTCTGTAATTAAGAAATAATTTTTAGTTAAATCAGATTCATGTTTCATAAAACAAGCTAATTTTTAATACTTTAAAGTAGATTAGATTAAATCCTTTTCAAAACAATACAACTGAATGAAACACAAATATTTTTAAAAATAATTATTAAGTGCTAAAGAATGATAGGAAGAAATATCTGAAGTAAATGCTGAAGAAAATTAGAATGATACATTTAACTTTTTACATTAATGAAGCATGATGTCTAGAGTCTTTCTAGTCAAGGAAAAGGTACTTGCGTCCAATAGTGTCAAACCCTGTCTTCCAGCTACCTGTTCATATTCCCACATCACAGAGAATATAAAACTGTTGACCATGGCCACTAACAAAAGCTGTTGAAATGCCACTTCAAGGTTCATTTAACTGTTCTCATCTCAGTGTTGGGAACTTAATGCTGGAGCATCTAGTTTGAAAATAAGTAAGACTCTAATGAGTTGGAGGTCTTTATGCGCCTTGTATTGTTGGTAGTGATTAACAGTAGGGGGTGTACAGAAGGTCAAAAGCGCTTCTTTTTAAAGGTCAGCAGAACATCCCCATCTGATAAGATTAAACTAATGTGGCTTTCAGTGTTAATATTTAAAGCAGCAGGTTGCTGCAGTGTTTGGGATAGTAGTTGTGGCTTTGAGAGATTATGAAAAAAGGACTGATGTGTGAACTCTTTAATGGAAGAATGTTTGATTCAGATAAATAATAGTATTTGCCTTCTAAGCAGTTTGAAATTGTTTTTCCTTTCTTAAATATTTGTAATTTGTTGTGTTTTTTTTTTTCTCTCAATATGTAGATCATTATTCCGTGTAAAGCTTTTTCTCTCCTTCCTTTGTTTTTTCATTTCTGCTGTTTTGAAGTGTTAAAGATTATTTGGGATAAATCATTGTAATACCAAGGCTCATCTGTGATTTTCAAATTTAGGTATACAAATAACAAATATGTTTATGTTCATTCCATAGTTTTCTGATTATTTTACTGGATATTTCAATGGGCAGTATTGGCTTTGGTGGATATTTCTTGTACTTGGTAAGTACCTTTAGGTTTGCATTTAGGTTTGTTTAGTTTGTTGAACCTTGATATTTACTAAAATTACAAGGCTCCAATAAATTGCAACTCTTGTAGAAACAATTTTTCTACTTTAAAATTCTAATATGTAAGCACTTATATCTCAGCTTTTCAAGTAATTCTAGATAAACCCCAGGGTTCTTAAGTTTAAATCCAGCAGCTGTCAATTTAAAGAGTTGGTAGTGGAATAATTGACTACTATAACACTTGAAAACTCTAATATGATTTAAAAAAATATTGTCTTCAGCATTTATCTTAGAAAATACATTGCATAATTTAATAATCTTAGGAAATGGTGAGAGTAAGATAGTTTGAGTTTTTTATCCATTTTCTTATTTTTGGATCATGGAAACTTTCGTTATGCCTTTGAAATGTGCCCTGCATTAATCATTACTCAGCCAGACTTAAGAAAAGGCTTCATGCTTTATGATCATAGTATGTTTGTTGAGTTGTCTTCTTTCATATTGATGAATTTTATGGGTTTCTAATATTGGTCCCTTGTGTTTTTTACTTTAGGTACATGATAATGAAATTAGTTTTAAAATCACGTTACACTCTTAATCCACGTTTCAAATATATTTACTGACAAGAAGAATACATTTTATTTATACTTAGGTTTTAAAGCCCACATTTCTCTGGTGAAATAATTGCAACAGAAAATAATGGCATTTCAGTAGGTGGCACTGTTCTCTGTGAGTTTTTATTTAGTCGTGCTACTGGATCTTTAGGATCTTTTGGGAAACAAGTTCTTGGTGGTCAGTTAAGATCACTAAAATCCTGGATTCTTTCTCTAATAGTTATGGTGACATTATCCTAGTGCTGTGACCTAGTTGGAGAGTCAGTAAAGCAGTCTAGCCAGTTTTTTTTTTTTTTTTTATTGTTAATTGTATTTTGACTGTCTGAATTTTGTATTCTTTAATGAATTTCCTACCTGAAAGTGAAAAAAAAAATGTGTAAAGTATATTATTAAATATTTAAGCATGTTAAAGTAGTGCATTTACTTGGGATTGTTAAGGGATTGGAGCAGTCTTAAGAAGACAGCTACAGAGCAGAATGGAGTGCAAAAGTTCCATATCAGCGCCACAGTCTAGCATTTATTTAAGGGATATAAAATGTGCCAATCTGACTAGGATAAAAAAATGTCACCCTCACATATATAGGTAGTCCCCAACTTACAACATACTGGAGTTAAAACTGACATCTCTTATGATGGTCTTTTTTTTTTTTTAAACATCTTATCATTAGAAATATATTGCAAAATGTAATTTGCTGATGTTATCATTCTCAGATGTTTACTCACAGATGTTCAATTTTATGTTTACTGTTCAAAAAACTGTTGGATTTATAAAGATACTCATAATAAAACACAATAATAATGAAAACTTAAAAAAAAAGTGAGTATTCAGCTTACAATAGAGTCAACAGAATGCAACCCCCATATAAGTCAAGGATTACCTGTACTAAAAAGAACGCTGAGCACATTGTAGAAAGCTGAGAAACAATAGTTGCTGAATGATTGTTTTTTTGAGAAATGAAGGCTTATTTTAGAAAATGACTGAGCAGAACAAAGTGTGTCTTGCAAAAAGCAGCTTCATAAATGGAAAGAAGACCTCATAAATAATTTTGGTTTACATTTTTCAATAATACTTTCACATTCGTATAGTGATACTGTTATCTTTGAGAAGCATCTGGAAGGGTATGAGAGTAGAATTTAAAGAGTGGGAGTCACAAAATGGAAAGAGGTAGGATATGGAAGTAGATGATATCAGACTTAGCTGCAGTTTATCCTACTTAAATTAAGTCATTATTTGTGTATCTTTTCTGTCTTATCACTCTGATTTACTCCAACTGTTTTTCTTTTTTAAGTACTTCAGTTACTGTCTAGAAGTTGGACTACAAATTTTGTTTGGGACTCTGTGTTTAGATTAACAAACTCTATTCCTCCTGAAGGAAATGTACACATAACATTTCTGTTTCCATTTTCACCCCCCACCATTTTCTGATTAGAATTTTACTAGAGTTAATAAATATTTCCTTTAGAATTGTATTCTTCCATATTTTAAAAGCTTAACTCTACTAATAATGGTAATGTTTTTATACTTACCTAATATTTTTTCCTAAACTTTGAAGCCTCTCACAGTGTCATCTTATTATTTGTTAAAGAATCCTGTGACAAAAATAGATATTAAAAATACCATTTTACAGAATAGAAAATTGAGATAGATAGAAGATGTACCCTGAATCACCTACGATATCAATCTCTGGAGCGCTGCTTCATTAAGTCTCCTTTCCTGTTTCTTAATTTTTATTATAGCCTTTTAGTATTACTTGAAAAGAAATAATTAAAAATACCTAAAATATACACATCTTCGTATTTCACAACTGACCGACATTGCTAGACAAGCTTACTGGTTTTATCCCAAAACTGTTAGCAGCTATATTTACTTATTCTCTGTTGAGTACTTTATATAAGTAAATAGACCCAAGTTTGCTCAGTAGTTGTCTTAATTGAAAATTTTGGTGTAAAATTGCATTTCTATGAGTTGAATCAGTTTAAAAGCATTGGGTAACTTTGCTATTTAAATAAATCATTTAATACTTTTTTTTTGGGGGGGTAATTCTGAACTGTCATGGCTGTATTTAGTTTACCTTAATTTAGATATACCTAGAAGTAAGTAAAATTTTATTGCATTTCCTCATGGTAGAGTATATACATTATAGTGTAAAAATACACTATGTAATGAATGAAATCTTACAAATTAAATTCTTAAGCCAAGAGGATCTTGTTTATAATTGTTTTAAATTTATCATGCCCCCGCTCTGTATAAGAACATAATATATCCGTATTATTTCACCTTCTCAGGCCTTCTCCTTTTCTTCAAAGGATTTGTTAATTATCTAAAAGTGAGAAACATGTCTGAGAGTATGGCAGCTGCTCATAGAACAAGATATTTCTTTTTATTATAAAGGTAAGAAATATTAATATATTAGCTGTTCCCTTAAATGTATTCATATTCATGATATATAAAATGCTTTATGTATGCCTATGATGTTTACTTAAATCTCATGTATTTAATGAATTCCTATACTCTTAAGTCAGCATATTGAAATTTAGTTAAGTTGTGTACCTATTTAGATAACTTTTAGATTTTTTTAAAGCTGAATTTCATATACTTATTTTTTGTTATATGAGTAAATGAAAGTACCTCTAAGATACATAGTTTCCAGTGAAAACCTAGCTAATATTGTAAATCAGAGTTTTCAAACTTCTTTTTAAAGAGTGATCAAAGATTATGAAAGAAGTAACCACCAGCAAAAAATGTGAAGGCCTGAAAAACAAAATATGACGGTGTTTGCACAGTGGAATGGGCATTTTGTATAAAACTGTGACATCCTTATTAACACACGGTGGGACAAAACCCAAATCTGTGATTGAAAAGTGATTTGCCATGCAGTTTAACTGTCTGAATCAAGGAATAGAGTTGTGTGAAAAAAATAGGAGCTCCATTAGTGTTTTCTTAATGTGTGTCAGTTTGTATCAACAGTGAAAGCTACAGCTTGAATAAAGGGGAATATAAAGAAATGAGCACAGATTGCCTAACTGGTTGGTTACGCAGTGAGTTTCTAGAGGCTGTGTATATGGGAATAGCATTTCTATATTGTATAACCAGTAATACCATCTCATGAATAGACTTCAAATTTTTGCTGTGTATCTTAGTTTATAAAGCAAGCTCCATACATTTAATGTCTATAAATGGTTTACATTTTAAAAATATTTCAACTGTAGTAACAAAATGTCTACTAACACTCTTGTGTATATGGGACTCTAAGTTACAAGTGTTTCAAGGTTACAAGAATTACATTTCTTTTTTATAAGTAAGTTGTGTGGTTTGTGATTTGGTTGCTCAGATTTTATCTATAACTTATATGGGTTACAAAAAAGCTTATATAATTTACTTATGTCTGCTTAAAATTACAATGACTGTAATTGTATTTCTGGATCATATTAAAATATCTTAAAAAATGTTCAGTTAGGTTCCCCAGCTCTCCAAGAAGTGGTATTCTGTGAGCAGTCAGTGTATACTTGATAAAATACTTCTATAAAATGAGTTTTAAAATGTATTATGAATGATACCAAGGTCCCTGTGTGGTACAAATGGTTTATACTCCATTATTAACCTGAAGGTTGGTAGTTCAAACCCACTCAGTGGGCCATGGTAAAAGGGCTGGTGATCTGCTTCTGTAAAGATTACAGCTGTGGAGCAGGTCTACTTTGTAACACATGGGGTCACCATGAATCAGAATCAACTTGACAATGGTGGGCTTTTTTTTTTTTTCCCCTTTGGGCATGATGCATTTTAAGACATATTTTTTCTTTGTCCCTAGACTGCATCGACCAGACATTCCTTACCTATACCAATGTGAAATTTCCAGATGATCTATAAGCTTACAACTTTAATAGGATAGAAGACTTCTAATAACAGGAGAAAAATTAGTGAAGAAAAGATACAGCTTCAAAATTGAATGGCAGGGTGGTTTATTCTTAAAAGCCATTTCTGTTCGTTTTCTTAAATATTTATATTTCATTTGTTTTGCACATTGGCATATGTGCTAATTTAAAAGACTTGCATATGTTTGGAATAACCATAAAGTTGATAGCAGTAAAATCCCATCACATTTGGTTAATCAGTGTTTGATGTAATTGAAAGAGTTGAGTGATAAACAGTCTTCCAGCATGTAAATGCCACTGATTTCTGACCTGCCATTTAGTATAATAAATCTGAAATTATTAACCTTGTCAAATGCTTTAGTTTCTGGTTCTTATATTTATCTAGTAACTGCACATAAAAACATTCATTGTTATATATAATGTTTATTGAAATCTACAATGCCGATCATTAGAAATGTTTTCTCAGATTTTGACCATAATATTACATATTCAGCAAAATTTGTTCTGTAAATAACCATGAGTAAATTACTGTCTCTATTGTTTTATTAGAAATGTGCCTAGATATCTTTTCATTAATTTTAAATTAAGTGAACTTAATATATATAGAATATTTGGGTGTTAAAAAAATATAGATTGTTTTAGAAAAGATTTTAAGAAAATGTGAGTGTACCAAATGTCCTTTGTAAGAAAAAAAATTTTTTTAAAGGGTATACCAGTTTTAGGGATTCTCAGAGGAGGAGCTTAGGTTTTTTTTTAGCATTGCTCATCTTGGAGATTCTTGCAGGAAGAAATTGTGTTAGATATTTATTTCATTTAAGACAGTTTTGAAAGTTGATTTTCTGAACAAGTTATTCTTATTTCCGGTTGTCTTTTAAAAAGTCAATAAAACTCTTTCAGTGTTGTAGTAATTTTTTCTACATCTATTTTAGATGTTCAGTTTTAGCAAATAAAAACTTGTGCTATTAATAGTTTCTTGCTTTATGATAATAGGATTAACATGTAAAAATCATATCTTGAATTGAGATATGCAAAATATCTGTTTTCAAGTTATGGAAATAAATACATTTATGGAGTATAAGGCCAGAGTGTGTATGGGGTGTGTGTTTGTTGAAAGAGAGTGTGTGTATGGGAAGGATTAAAAATAGACCATAGTAGCCATTATTACAACTGGAATCTATATTCATAAGCAACTGTGTTTTGCATCCTGCAAATCATTTTATATTTCATTTCTTTGTTTCTAGTTATGTGTTTGCTTTTTGAATGCCAGAGTTAAAAATTATGGGAATTATATCATCTTTTAAACTTAAAAATCATTTAATGCAGCCATATAAAATTGATTGCTTGTTTATTATTGGGCAGTGACTACTACTAAAAGGTACATGTAACTGTTCAGGGACATTTTTTCCATTTCTTAAAAATAAAATTTATTATGCTTTATAACCTCTTTTGTATTTCTGTATTTTCTGGTTTTCCCCATTGTCTTTGATAAATAAAAGATGCATTTTGTTTTGCTAGTTGAGCCTCCAATTTTTTGTTTTCCCATGCACAGAATTTTTACTATAAATTAAAATACTTGTGTTACACCTTGAAATACATTAATAGTTTTGGATAAAGAAAACATAATATATAATTTAGTTGCCTAATTGGAAGTTAATTAACTGAGTGTGTACTTAGATGCAGACTCATGCTGGCTGTCTTCATGATCGTCTGTTAATTTCTTATGGGCCTATATTTTTTTTATTAACTTTTAGATGAAATTAAGTTAAATTGTTGGGAATTTCAGCTATCAAACATCGATTTTTAAAATTTTATTTTAGATTTTGTGGTATTTATACTTAGTTTTGGAATGTGAATGTGCCACTTTTGATCCAACATCAGAAATGCACTTTTTTAGTTTTTTTATTTTTCTGAACCTACAAGGCTTAAATGTGCATGTTTCCTAATCCTTGTAATTGGTACAATTCAATGGTGGCCTTCAAAATCATCATCCAAACAGAGAAATTGTAATATCATTTCAAAATCTTAACGTTCTCTTCCACATTTATCTTACCCTGCGTACTTCAGTCCTGTGAGCGTAGCTAGAACAGCTACTGCTGGGTTTTGGGGACACTTGATTACCTTTGTACTCTGCCTTAAAGCTTGAAAATCAAAAGCTTTATTAGGATGACTGACTAATTTTTGCATGAATGTGAACTAGAGTTTGGAAGTTAACGTAGAATTTTCTTAGAAATGTCCATTATAGGGGAAGGAACACAGATAGATATAGAGAGAAAAATCAATGTCTGTTGTATTTGAATAAGCCAGTTATGGCCAGGTTAATCCATATTTGTCTTTAACAGTAAACTTTTATAGCCTACTTTAGGGAGACAATACATTTTTCTCTATTGCATAGGTACGATAGATTTAAAAAATTTGACATTGAAAGGCAAATCTCATTATACTCAGTTAAAATTAAAAATTTATATTCAATAGAAAGCATACTTATTTCTAATCTTTTATTTTGAGTCTATAAGATAGATCATATTTTGGACATGTCTTTGAATTTGTTGATAAAATTTAATGTGTTAAAATAATAATTGGGAGCTCTGGTAGCATAGCGGCTAAGACACCTGACTGCTAACCAGAAGGCTGGCGGTTCAAACCCACCAGCCACTCCTCGGAAGGAAGGTGAAGCAATCTACTTCCGTAGTGATACTGCCTCGGAAACCTGACTCGATGGCACATAACAACAACAACAACAAAATAATAATCACTACTATTTCCAGTAAAACCTCTCATAAAAGAAATAGTGCACTTCAAAAAATGCAATTGGAGAAAAATTTGGGCTTTCTTAGTGAATTTTTTTTTTTTTTCCAACTGGTCTGTACTATCACAAGGAGCTCTGATGCAGAGTACAGTGGTTAAAACATTCAGCTGCTAACCAAAAGGTTGGCAGTTTGAATCCACCAGCCACTTCACAGGAGAAAGATGTGGCAGTCTGCTTCTGTAAACAGAACAACCTTGGAAACTCTATGGGGCAGTTCTCCTCTGTCCTGTAGGGTCAGTATTAGTCGGAATTGAGTCTGGTAGTGGTTTTTTGTTTTTGTTTTTTTCGTACTGTCATAAAAAGCACAAAAGTAATCAGTGAAAGTGATGCTGTATTTCACTAGAGTGACATATGTCCTAGCTTTGCTCATAATAGGCCTGGTTAATGCCTGTTTTTTCAGCTTAATTAAATAATCTCTCCTTTCACTGTCAAAAATAGCCTACTATGGAGGATAAATTAGATGGTCAGCTGTACTGAGAAGTAAATGCCTCATCCTACTACCATTTGAGAGAAGAAGTGGGACAAGAAGAGAAACCAGTTACTGTATTCAAATTGGTAATGTCCAGGGGCTTATACTGTATAACCATTGGCATATCAGCATTCAGTCTTTTTTTTTAATCCAAGCCAAAGCTTGCTTTTTCAGTAGCTATCCTATTAAGGGAAGTTACTTTGTACTGCTATTCAAGTTTTGTTTTTAAATTATTCCAGGTGTGAGAAATTCCATTTTGTTTAACCTATGAAAAAGTTATTATTTGATTTGATTTGTCTATTACTATATAAAGGAGCTCTGGTAGCATAGTGCCTAAGGTACTTGACTGCTAACCAGAAGGCTGGTGGTTCAAACCCACCAGCCACTCCTCGGAAGGAAGGTTGGGCAATCTACTTCTGTAGTGATAATGCCTCAGCAACCCGAGGAGGGGTCGCTATGAGTCGGGTCCAATTCGATGGCACATAACAACAACAACATTGCTATATGAAGAGCTCTGGTGGCATAGTGCCTAAGGCATTTGACTGCTAGCCAGAAGGCTGGCAGTTCAAACCCACTAGCCACTCTGGAAGGAAGATTGGGCAATCTACTTCAATAGTGATACTGCCTCAGAAACATAAGGAGGGGTTGCCATGAGTTGGATTGCTGTATATGTTACTTGGGCTATAATACTTTTATTTCCCATCTTATTCTTTCAGAAGTATGGCATAAAGACTCTTAATTGCTAGCAAGCTTTGGTGACCACTCATTCTAATATAATAAATGGTGATGGAAGTTAAGTGTCAAGTAACACTTCCTAAATCTAGATTTTTAAAATGATGAGCCAATCATGCAGAACATCCAGATAGCATTAGTTTATTAAGAATTATGAATGTTTAAAAGACATTTGAGTCCTAATACTCTGGGATCTCCATGGATGAATTCCTGATTGAATGATTCTTAGGACCTCTCTCTAGAATGCTGATAGTTATTCAATATGGTGTTTTAGAATCAACTGGGAGCATTTTGGAAATTAACATTCTAGCCCTAACTCGCAGAAGTTTTGATGGCAGCACGTCCTTCCTGTAATTTGAGGTCCTTGAATTCTAGTCTAGTAGTACTGTCAATTCCTTTGTCATATTAATGCCTTTTCTATATCTAGCTTGTCACATGCATGTGATAGAAATTTAAACAATGTGAGGGCCAGTGTCTTGGCAAGACTTGTTGAAGGAAAACAGTAAAAGGAACATAAAATCATACCTTAAGGGTTAATGAGCATTCTTGAGTTCCTGCTTCATGTCCCCACTGAATAAGGGCCCCCTGATTTCAGTGCCCTAGATGTATAGCATGACCAGGGCAATAAGATGTGACAGAATGGAACTGTGCTGAGAAGGCAGTTATTTTCTCTACAATCTTGTAAAGTGTCCAGAATTGGATTAATTGTTGACTTTTCTTGCCTAAACAAATATAATTTCTTCTCTTTTCCATCCTTGTGGAGCCCATAGATGATTGAGAGAGACAGCTTGGTTGGTATAACAGAATGAAGGGGCTTTGGAGTCAGGTTAACTCAGCTATTCATATACATTTGTCAATTTTCTAGATCCTCAAATTCTAGAAAAATGTTTTTCATAACACAAAACCTTACATGTCTGTGACACAGTTTTTTTTTTTTTTAAAGGTTTAGTATATTGTTGTGGGGGCTTCTCTCCCACTTTTACTGTTTCTTCGTTATGGCGGGAACAACCTAAGTGTAACTCCTGACCTCCCTCTGCCTCTTTATTAGCTTGTCCCTAGGGAAGCAATTTATTTGGGTAAATACCTGGACATGCTGTGCTCAGCCCTTCTCTCTTCTGGTAGCTTGTGAAGAATTCCCATTGTGCTGTGTTCTCCAGAGTAGGCTCTGCTCTGTCCTGGCCTACAACTCAGAATGGCCGAGTAGGGTAACTGCTCAATTCTGGAACACGTTTAGCTATGTCCTCCAATCTAGTTTTATCATGAATAAAGTTAATATTTTGGTTCTTTGTCTGCCACTCTGTTTCATTTCTTATTTGTATATAAAGCAGTTGGCAAAGAGAGGTAATTTTGGGGATCCTCAGAAACTCACAATATACATCCCATTAGATCTTGCTGTTAACTAGATGTCCTACTAGCTATCATCCATATAAATGTCTTAAATTCAAGACTACCTGAGCTCTTATATGTGGAGTCTTTTGGGGAAGATTTTAGCCTTCTATAATCTCATCAAACAGGTCCTACCTGACTTGTGTGTAGAAGGCTCAGAGAAATTAGGTGGTATCCTTTCAAAAATAAGCTACTGTTCCCTGCAATAATT